GGAGTCTGTTTCCAAAGGGTAAAAGAATGAATATCCTCCTAAGCTGTCACCTCCCCACTGGGGTGGGCCTAAGTAAGTGGTAAAGCAAGTGTGGGGCTTGGGAACAGGCTGCCTGGCATCAACCATGTCCCCTATGCCTCCAGGTTCAATAGCTTCCCTAGTCGACGCCTCCAAGCAGCCAAAGTCAAGAACCATGGGCTTAAGATGAGGCCATATTTTAAAGGTGCATCACTTTAAAGAACAGCACTAAGATTTAAGAAGCCCATGTACAAGGACAAAACTGAGTGGCTGAAGCTTAGAAAACGTTTCACTGGACCTTTCTTCTCCACTGGGCTGCACGCCTCAGGGTTCATAAGCTTTGCATTCCCAGTGCCTCGTGTCTCTCCTGGGTCACGGTAGACTTACAGTAAACCCTGGAAGAAGAGAATGAGGAAGGTAACGGTAGGGAAGGAAAGAATGGAAGGTGCGTGTGCTAAGAAGGTAACTGCGGCAGATGGCCCCCAGCGATTCCACCCTCTGGTGTTCATGCCTTGCGTGATCCCTCCCCCAGGAGGTATGGGCTGGACCTGGTGACTCGATAAAGCCGGAGAGAGACTACTTCAATAGTGATATCTTACTTCCCAGGTTATAACAAGACTCACTTCTGTCTCGAGCACCTTTCTCACTCCCTTTTGCTTTGAAGAAAGCTAGCTGTCAAATTCTTACCTGCCAATGACTAGGTGAGTGAGCCTGGAAGGGGGTTTTTCCCCCCATGTGTCTTGAGATGGCTGCAGCTCCAGTCAACATCTTAATTACAGCCTTGTGAGAAACCCTGAGCCAGAGACATCCCACCCACAGAAACTGCAAGGTAAGTCTGTTCTCAAATGCTAATTGTATGATGACAGTGTCACTCAGCAATAGGTACAGATTTTGGAGTGTAGGTAGTGGATGGAGCTGGAAGGGTTTTGACGAGAGGGTTAGAGAAAGCCTAAATTCCCATGAACAGACTTTTTATAGAAATCTGGATTTTGAAATCACCACTCTTCATTATAACTTCCATACAACTCAAAACATGCAGATAACTCTGCACATAGGCAAAAAACTTCAGGCAAATACTGGTGTTCCTCTTTAGAAACATGAGAGAAGTTACTACTTTTTATGTGTTTAAACGTGAGTGTGCTATCATTGCTATTATCTAGCAGATAGTGTGAGACACGTGCCAGGCACCGGAGAGACAAAGGTGTATAAAGTAATTTTTCTCCTGGAGAATAGTCTAGGGAAATGTTTTTATTTTTGTTTTAAAACTGAAACTTGGGTTGAGCAGTCCTTGCATCTTAGGGCTGTATATATTCATTTAATTGACAGCAATGGTCATTTCAGCAGCTCTGTCATTCAGGATGTTATCCGATTCCAGTCAAGTGTACATACAAAAGCTGTTTTGCTTCTTTCTCTCCTTCTCCCTCCCTCTCTTCCCCTTCTTCCTCCTTTATTCCTTCCTCCCTCCCTCTTTTTTTTCCTTCCCTTCTGGACAGGGTCTTGCTCTATCTCCCATGCTGGAGTGCAGCTGCAGGATCATAGCTCACTGCAACCTCAAGTGATCCTACCTCAGCCTCCCAAGTAGCTGAGACTATTGGCACACACCACCATACCCAGCTAATTGTATCATTGTTATTGTAGAGACGGGGGTCTTGCTGTGTTGCCCAGGCTGATGAGCTCTTTTCATAATTATTTTCTCCCTCTTGGTACCATAATGTAATGTCAGCAGGATCAGTTCTAAACTGTATGTGGAAGGCATAATGGAAGAGATACACTAAAAAATCTCAGATGTGTTTCTGTGAACTTCATTTGACTGGAGGGCAATTTATAAAAATATGCAGAATCTAGAGGAAAAAAGTAGGAATGAGAGTCAGGAGACCGACGTTTAAGACTTGTCTATGCCTTTGACAAAATGGCTTAGCCCAATAGCTTTGGGCTAATCACTTGGATTTTCTGTCCTTCAGGAGGATTAATACAAATGGAGAGACAAGCTGGGCATGGTGGCTCATGCCTGTAATCCCAACACTTTGCATGGCCAATATGGAAGGATTGCTCGAGGCCAGAAGCTCAAGACCAGCCTGGGAAACAGCGAGATCATGTCTCAGGAATAAAGTAAAATGGAGAAACATGCAACCATGGTTTCTGTGAATATTACATAATACAGGTGAAAATGCTTTGAAAAAATTTTGTTCTTGATGTACATGGTAGTCATCTTCCAATATTTATGGAGAACAAATTGCAATTTCCCTTCTTTTATGCTGACAAGTTTCCTGTATTCTGAAAACCTTCCCACAGGTATTTCAACGGAAAAGCACCAGCAGCCAATAAAATGTTCCAAATTGAACAATAAGCTTCTAACATTTATAAAAGCAAATGAAATACCTCCTGTCCATCTCTTCACTGTAGAGTCATGCAGGGCACAGCATTCTCACTCCCTTCGCAGGTGTTGAACTAAAAGGAAGCAGCTGAGGCAAACTTAATAGAGAATGTAGTTGAGCCAAGCACCTCAGGAATAGATTCAAGCTCCCCTGAAGTACACTTCAATCCGCAGCAGTTCCATGTGGATAAGCTACTAGTTACCTATACATTGTTCTTTGTATCATAAATTCCAATAACATGAAGATAATAGCCGGGACAGCTAGTCAGGAACAAGGTCAGTTCAAGCAACTGTCCCCAGGCAGAGGTACTAGGGGCATGACTGAAGTCCTATGCTCATGTCTGTCTAGACCTGAAAAGTTTTGCAAACCTCACATAGCTCAGATTTCTGAGCAATTTCCCTTTTCTCACAGGCCCTTCCCTCCTCTCCTCATTTCCAATTTTTTCTGTCCTCTTTCTCTTCTTGCCCTGAAGAGGGAAAGTATAATAAATCATAAAACAAAGAATGCTTAAAGATAGAAAGGAAATACCAAAAAAGGACACTTTCATACTCTTCTTTAAACAAAAATTGGTATAGTCCTTTAAGAGCACCAAATGGGCTGGGAATGGTGGCTTACACCTGTAGTCCCAGCACTTTGGGAGGCTGAGGCATGTGGATCATTTGGGGTCAGGAGTTTGAGACCAGCCTGGCAAACATGGTGAAATGCCATCTCTACTAAAAATACAAAAATTAGCAGGGCATAATGGCAGGTAGCTGTAATCCCAGCTACTTGGGAGGCTGAGGCAGGAGAATTGCTTCAACCCAGAAGGCAGAGGTTGCAGTGAGCTCAGATCCCACCACTGCAGTCCAACCTGGGTGACAGAGCAAGACTCTGTCTCAGGGGGGAAAAAAAAAAAAAATGGGGGTGGGCACCAAATGGCTGTATCAAAAATTTAAACATGATGTTCTTTCACTAACCTCCCCCACCCCCACATAAAGTCCACTTCCAGGAATTATTTCTATAAAAACTACTAGCATATATGTGCATTATACATAAACACAGGTGATCAACACAATGCTGTTTGAAATACTGCAAAATAGGAAAGAAAATGCCACCGAGTGTTTATAAAGTTACACTGAAACTATGCAGGTTCCAAAATTCAGTACAGATAGACTTCTTTCCATGCCAGTGTACATAAGACATAAGCCAGAAAACAGGTGTACTCATTTTACTCACTGAACAAAGAAGTCAATATTTGTCTTATTTTATGTCCAGCAGTGGCACAGGTGCAGGGAATATAGTAGTGAACAATTCAGGCAAAATTGCTGCCCTTATCCTAGAATGCCCTGCATTCTAATTGAAGATTAATGTTTAAAGTATAAATCATTGAGGTTGAAAAGAATATACATCTATGTTTATAAATGTGTAGGAAATGATTTGAACGAAACAAGGAAGAATCCAGCTAGGATTCCCTGCTTTTTCTGGGCCATCAGTGAGAAGGATGCTCTTGGTCAGAGAAAAAACATGAGTCAAGGTTCAACCTCCGCCTCCCGGGTTCAAGCAATTCTCCTGCCTCAGGCAGGGACGTGGGAGTAGACAGGCACAGCCTGTGTCACCAGATCACAGGGAAATATGGTAAAAGTATGGGTCAGGCAGCTGTGAACTGGTAGAAAGTATTGGATGATTAGCTTTCTCTTTATATATGGGTAATATATGCATAACCCTTGAATAATATGGGATTTAGGGTACTGACCCCCATACAGTTAAAAATGTGTTTAACTTTTGACTTTTCAAAAACGATAGTAGCCTGTTGACTGGAAATCTCACTGATACCAAAAACAGCCAATAAACATACATTGTATGCTATGTATATTACATGCTACATTCTTACAATAAAGTAAGCTAAATAACAGAACATGTGATTAAGAAAATTATAAAGAAAAGCTGGGGGCAGTGGCTAACATCTCCAATTCCAGGACTTTGGGAAGCCAAGGTGGGGGATTACAATGCCAGGAGTTAGAGACCAGCCTGGCCAAGATAGGGAGACCCCATGTCTACCAAAAAGAAATATATTTACTATTCATGAAGTGGAAGTAGATCATCATAAAGTTCTTCATCCTCTTGCTTTCAGGTTTAGTAGTGGAGGAGAGGAAAAAGAGGGTTTGGTCTTGTGATCTCAGGAGTGTGAGAGGCAGGAGAGGCAGACATACTCAGTTTAACTTTTATTGAAAAATATCCACATGTAAGTGGACCTGTACAGTTCAAAACTGTTGCTCAAGTATCCATTGTACAAATGTGTTATCACTGAAAATATTCAATAATCCACAAAGAACTCTACAGCCTCGTCTTATGTTATGGTGGCATGTGCTCCAAATGTCTTCAAGAATAATGAACTTTTGGGACCCCAAACTCAGATGCTTGCTGGAGCCAGGTGGGAATGATGCACAAGCAAGTCACCTTAAGCAGGGCTGGAGGCACAGCCCTTTTTCAGAGGGCAGCTGCCATGCCACCAGGCCAATGGTGGCCATGCTGGGAGACAGGTCATGGCTATCAGAGCTTCTGGCTTTTAAAGAGGAGCCACATAGACCGTGGACTTACGTAAATGTTGCCTCAAAACTTTTTCATGCTATGTGGACCGATGATCACATGTGCCAGCAGCACCTGGCCCACGGGCCTCCAGTCTGTGACCCATTTGTGCTTACTGCAGGTAAAAAGAGCCCTGGGGGAACCAATACATCAAGCTTTCCCACAGGCCTCCACAAGTGGCTCCCGACTGAGCAGTGCACTTGCAGCTGCTGCTAAAAGCTCTCCCTCCCAGTCTCCTGGCCCTACCAGACCACCCGCAGGGAAGTATACTTCACCTCCTACCCTAGCAGCTTCCCTGAAAGAAACAGCCCTTCTGGGAGCCAAGAAAACTCTCAAGTGAAATTCTCTACTTCACAGTACTTTTTAAATACAGAAGAAACCAGAAAAGATGTGAATAATCTAATTCACTGTTTACTCCCACCCCACCCACCTCCAACCAAGTCCCATTTCCTCTCATTAACTCCTTATTCTTAATATATTTTTGATATTTAATTGTTGTACGTATTTTGGGCGTACATGTGATATTTTAATGCCTGTATGCAATGTGCAATGATCAAATCAGTAATTGGGATATCCTTCACTTCAAATAATTATCTTTTCCTTGTTCTTCCCTTATTTTGTTTAGACAATGTCTCACTATGTTGCCCAGACTGAAGTACTGTGACCACTCACAGGCATGATCATGGTGCATTACAGTCTAACTCCTGGTTTCAGGTGATCCTTCCGCCTTAGCCTCCGAAGTAAGGACTATAGGCACAGCCACTGTGCCCAAATCATTTATCTTTTCCTCCTCTTGGGAACATTAAGGCTTCTCTTCTAGTTATTTTGAAGTACACAATAAATTGTTAACCATTGTTTCCTTCCTGCACTATCAAATGCTAGAACTTATGCCTTTTATCTAGCTGTATTTTTATACCCCCTCACCGGTTCCTTTTCATTCTTTCTTTCCAGCCTCTGGTAACCACCATTCTACTTTCTACCTCCAGGAGTCCACTTTAGTTCCAACCTATGAGAAAAGTGCTGTAGATATCTTTCCATGCCTGAATTACTTCACTTAACATGATGTCCACCTGTTCCATCCATGTTGGTGCAAATGAAGGATTTCAGCCTTTTTTATGGCTTAAGAGGATTGTATCAAGCTGAAAGGCTTATATTCAGCAAAGAAAACAGTGAAGAGACAGCCTACAGAACGGAAGAAAGTATCTGAACTCTTCATCTGGCAAGGTATTGATAACCAGAATTTACAAGGAACTCAAACACCTCAACAGCAAAAAACCAAAAAATGAATAAAAATTGAAACAAGCCTAATTTGAAAATGGGCAAAAGACTTGAATAGACATTTCTCAAAAGACGACCTAGGTAGGTACATCCTCATACTGTTTTGGTCTAATTGAGGAAGAGAACATACATTAATTAGCAGCTGGGAGGGAGCCAATGCAGGTATAGAATAAAGGTGAAGTAGCCAATAGAGAGGCAGGTATAAATAAGAAAGGAGGTTTCATTGACCCTAAGTTTACCCCCTTCATCTTAGCCTTAGAATTCTTTCTCCAGGAAGCTTCAGTTTCACTGGGAAAGAAACCATATAGGTTTTGTTTTGGGGACTAGTGACAAATTTGAGTTTTTTTAAATTTTACTTTAAGTTCTGGGATACATGTGCAGCTATGTAGTTTTAACTCCCACATTTTCTACAGCAAAAAATCTGGACAGATGGTGTAACAATGAATGCCTTTCTTCCTAATTCTTAAATTTATATGAAAAGACTGACAAAGGCATAAGAGATCATATTTGATTATCCAATTAGCCAATTGTGTGTGTTTTCTTAATTTTTTGTAGAGACAGGATTTCACCCTGTTGCCAGACTGGTCTCAAATTCCTGGCCTCAAATGATCCTCCTGCCTCTGTCTCCAAAAATGCTGGGATTACAGGTGTGAGTCACTGTGCCTGCTCATACAATTGTCTATTAAAAAAGTACAGTTAAGCATACTGGAAAATCTCCAGCATATGTTCTAATGCACTACTCTGTCAATGCTGTTCCTTTCCCCGGGCCTTACTGCCAAAACCTGACATTCTCTTTGAGAAAGGAGGCCCAAACTCAGATTTAATAGATTATACATCAATTTTGGGGCTATAGAACTGAATTATTCATTTCTAACACAGACTTGGCATATAACAAACTAGCTACTGAGAGTCCTCTGCCATGATATTAAGAGTGCTAAGATAATTTTGAAATATTTGCTTTGCTTTCATGGTCATTCATGTCTCAAAAGGTTTGGGACTAAGTAGGTCAAAAGGACACTGAGGTTTTCCAGGCACTGAGAAAGGGCTACTTTTCCCCAGGCCACAGCAGGGAAGACGGAAGGAGAGGAAAGGCAAGCAGTAGAGCAGACAGTACACAGTGAAGCTTTCTGGTTGTTTTTTCCCATTCATTCCAATTCATCAGGAATTGTAGGATACTTGCCAAATACCCCACACTAGCACCATGGGAAGCTACAAAAGCAGCACTCAGTAAAATGGGCTCTTGCATGCCAATGCGTACAGGGACCTGGCAGATAAGACCAATGAACCAGCGGGTAGGAACAAGAAGCATGGACCACTCTACATCTTAGTTACCTGTGTTTAGAATATTTAAACTTTTCTATTTACTGTAAACAATATAAGCATGATGATAGTTGGCAATTGATTCTACTTTATCATCAAGAACACAGTAGGGAGTGGTCGGTACTGTGATGTCCTGCAGAGCCAGGCCCCTGTCTCAGGTGGGTGGGATTGGCATCTTATTAGGTTCTGACTATAGTCAGGATAGGCATACCACACCTCCATTTTTCTCAAGAGAAGCCAGACATCCATATTTTTATGAGATCTTTGTATTTCCAGTTGTTGGCATCTAATGAAAATATTTAGACATTACCTTAGGAGCCATAATTCTGTGGTCAAACAAAATTGCTGTCATTCCCTGAAAAAACGGACCCTGCCCTTAAGTTGCTGTATGTCTGCATGTATAAGACATACATACTAACCTGAGTATGAAAAGAAAGAGTATCTGGCAGTGTAATGAGTACTTAGTATATGTTCAACCTCTTCCTCTTTTTCCCATTATAAAATATTTGTGTGCTAGAAAATGAAAGTCAGCAATAGGCCTTAAATATCTTTCCTACTCCTTTCAAAGAAGGGTCAATTTTCTTTCTCCAGTTGGAGAAGAGAGAACAAGAAAAGCAGCACCAACCATTTGTTTTGCCAACAAGGGTGATGGGTAAGTAGGTAAATAGAGGACTACATTTCTTTGCTCAAAGGTGGAACCAAAGACAATCTGGAGAGGAAGAGAAAGGCTGGGGCAAAGGGGAGGAAAAAGTGTAGGATAGCGATACAGGGTACATGCTGATGGGATGAACTTTAGGAAAAGAGGAGAGTTTAAAGGGGAGCCTTAAAATGTTTTTCCATGTGATATATACATGACACCCTGCACTGTATACCCAAGACATTTAAAATAAAATCCACAGTGCTCTTTAATGCATCTGTAGTCATATTTGCATTTGCTTTAAGGTGAGAATGAAACAGCCAGGTGGGTTACCTGAGACTGCCCAGTGAATGGTCATGACTACAGAGGACAAAGGAGTGCTGACTGCACTTCAACTGAAAACCAAGGAATCCAAGGTCTGACAACAGAATAAAACACATGACCTTAAAGAGATGCCATGAGAAATACTGGTCCTAGAGCTGGATATTTTAGCAAGAGAAAGCTCATTGAGAGGAGAGGGTAGAGCATGGGCGGTGGTGAGGGTGTGCTTGGTGTATCCTGGCCTGGCAGGTATATGGGACTGTTGGGCTGTGCAGAGACTATGTTCAGAACATGACTCTTTCATGTTAGAAAAGGGGTCCTGGGTTATCCACAACCAGGATAAGTTAGCTTTCAGTTCGCTCTAAGCTGTAAGTTTGCTTCTCCGCCCTCGGTATGTCAAAGCCCTGCAGGTAAGACCCACAACCTCATGTTCTTAGAGACCAGACTGTCAGACATAGCAGCACCAAGTTTTGAATTTTAGAAATGTGTGCAATGGGCATTTGTACTTACATGGACTACGCATGGCTTTTTCATGCCTGTGGAATGTGGGTCCAAGACACTGAATTCAAGAGCTAGCCAGTTCTGCCAAGACAGTTACATGTGTGAGCTGGGTACAAAGCAAACTGTCAGTTGAGTTTCAATCTGAAGGAGATATATTGTGTGTGTGTGTTTCTTGAAGTCTTGCTGTGCTGCCCAGGCTGCGATACAATGGCACGATCTAGGCTCACTGCAACGTTTACCTCCCAGGTTCAAGTGATTTTCCTAACTCAATCTCCCAAGCAACTACGATTATAAGCATGCACCACCACATCCAAAAAATACATTTTTTTCCTTTTAGTAGAGACAGGGTTTTGCCACATTGGCCAGGCTGGTCTTGAACTCCTGGCCTCAAATGTTCCACCTGCCTCAGCCTTCCAAAGTGCTGGGATTACAAGTGTGAGTCACTGTGCCTGGCTAACGGTGATACATTCTGACATATGGTGAGCCATCTGTGTTTGCAAGAGGAAGAGAGAAGAGGTGGATTGGAGGGATTGGCAAGCCTGGTTCCAGCTCTCGCTATGACACAGGCTATAGAGCCCTGGGCAGGGCAGTTAATCTCCAGGGACTTCAGTGTGAAACGAGAACATTTCTGTATTAGCTCTGAGAAATCTCCATACCATTATCCATAGTGACTGTACTAATGCACACACCAATTAACTGTGTGAATCCCTTATTCTGCATTCTCACCAACATTTTTTAAAAAGCTTTTAAATAACAGCTATTATACTAGTGTAAGATGGTATTCATTGTGGTTTTAGTTTTCATTTCCCCGATATGTTGAACTTTTCATGGTAGTTTGTTACGCCAGAACATTTTTTGTGTACTTTACTTGTTGGCCATTTGTATGTTTTTTTGAGAAATATTTACCATACAATCCAGAATTATCACTACTGGTATTTATCCAAAAGAAAGAAAATCAGTACATCAAAGGGATAGCTGCATGCTCATGTTTATTGCAGCACTATTCACAATCACAAAGACAGAATCAACCTAAGTGTTTACCACTGGATGAAGAAAATGTGGCATATATACACAATGGAATAATATTCATCTAATATAAAATAAAATCCTGTCATTTGGCACTGGAGGTTATTATGCTAAGTAAAATAAACCAGGGAGAGAAAGACAAATATGTTCTTGCTCATGTGTGGGAGCTAAAAGAGTTAATTTCCTGCAGGTAGAAAATAGAATGATAAATACCAGAGGCTGGACTCTGGGAAGGGTGTATGTGTGTGTGTGTGTGTGGTGAGGGGTGGTATAGAGGTTGGTTAATAGGTACGAATACAGTCGGATAGAAGGTGTAACCTCTAATGTTTAATAGCAAAGTAACACCTTGCCCTGTGCAGCTATTCCTTTTGGTTGGTCCCGAGTTGTAGACTCCAGAATAAACTGGCAAACAAATTGAGTTTGGTGAGCTGTTCTAGACAACAATTAGAACTGAGAAGGTGGTCGTGGTAACCTCTCATTTATACCTGATTGGTCAGAATTACAGGTGGTCTGGGACTGTGACTGGCATCTGAAGTGGGGACAGATTTGTGGAACAGAGTCCCTCCAATTTGTGGAGTCTGATGCTAGCGCCAGGAAGACAACCAGTTGGCATCTAGACAATAGGAGAGTTTGTTGGTGTCAGAAAACACCTCGGACTATCATACTACGTATCTCAGAGACACTATTAACCAGGAAGATAGTCATGGTCAAGAGACTCTGGGGTCAGACAAGCTTGAGTTTTTCAGTTCTTGACTCTACAGCCTTCATAGTCAGTTAACTTCTCTGTGCTGCCTCCGTTTTCTCATCTGCAAACTATGAAGAATCATTCTGTCTGCCTGAGAGGGCTGTTAGGTAATGCATAGGAGGTGATAACATATTACCTAGTTATGCTTAATAAACAGGTGCGATTGGATGTCACTGTCCAGGGAGTGTGGGTGTAGGAGAACAGGATGACAGTGTACACATAGACTCCCAAGAGGACCAGCTTATTGTGCTGTTAATGCAAAGGAAGGATCTGGATGCCAGAAAGGTCCTGTGTACAACAAGGTGGGAACCAGCAGGGTGGGGGGCACACAGTGGGTGAAACTGAGTCAGTGGATCAATGTTGCTGAAGACAAAGTCTTCACCACTCTGATGTCCC